AAAAATAACTACTAACAGGGTACTATAGCAAATTGAAGCAGACTTCAGACACAAACAACAGAGTTCAACATTTGCAAATACCAGGCAAACAAATGGTCATTGTCTGAGATGGAACAATACTAATACTCCATCACTTTGGGCAAAAACTAGAAAATTCTGTCATGAGTGTGATTTTACATTTGTGCTGTTAAGAAAGGATGGAAGAAGCCAAAAAAACATAAAAACACTGAACACTACAACATGAGTAGGTCATTCAGCCCTTTGAGCCTGCTCCATCACTCAAAATAATCATGGTTGATCATCCAACTCAGTACCCTGCTTCCATCTTCTCCCCATACCCTTTGATCCCTTTAGCTCTAAGAACAATATCTAACTCCTTCTTGAAAACCTTTAATATCTTGGCCTCAACCAATTTTCATGGCAGAGAAAGATATCAGGCAATGATAACAAAATGACAACAAATAATAACAAGCAGAATACTGCTGGATATGCAAATGATTTACCAGAGAACATTGAAAGAAGAGATACAGGAAAGATGAGGCTTTATCTGCTAGAAGAAACTTCAAGAAATATCATTATGCTTTGAATAAAGCAGAATGAAGGCCAAAAACCAGAAAACTGCTTCTTCAACATTATAGAAATCTTCACACAGACACAAGAAGGTAATCTGATCAATTTAGGAAAAGACACAATTATTCAGGTTAAATTATTCAGGTCACCCCATGAATAAAGATATTAGAAGACAGATCTGTTTAAATGAAGCCAGATATATGAGCTTGACAATATCACAATCCAGCTTAATAATATCTGATAAGTAGTGAAGAAGGCAAGCTATCCCTCAAAATCTTGGAGATTGTAACACAAAAAGCTGGATGAGGCTCCTTAATTCTGTAGAATCATAAGTCCTGATTTTAACTCAATCAAAATACAGTGACTTACACAGAGCTAAAATCTAATTTTTCATGTCCAAATTTCTTAGAAACATACAATATGTGGGAAAGCAAAAAAGAATTGTGATCTGCCAATATCACAGACTACAGACAGATGACTGCAGACTGATGAGACTGGATGAAATTAATGAAAAGGAATTAAGATCAGTATGATGATAATAAACTTTCAAGGATGGCTAGTAATTTTAATGATGAATAACACCTATCTGATAGACCTGCTTGTTGTGATTATTGCTCCAAGTTGTAAGGACAACAATTTGAATGTATGTAGCATGAATTTATATAGAAATTTGAATTTATATAGGCAATAAAAGGACCAAAGACATTCCACAAAAACATGGTAAAAGAAAATTAGATACCGAGCTGAATAAAAAGGTATTAGGGCAGATGATTAAAGAGTTATATGTAAGGCATGTCATAAATGAGGGAACAGAAGCAGGAAGCCGGAATGGGTTAAGGAAAAAATTCAAAGCTTACAGCCATGCCAGCTGAAAGCATGGCATAGTGATTATAACACGGCCAGCCAGATTGACCTCATAGAATATGAGTTCTCTGATTGGACCAGATTTACAGCCCCAATCAGGGGGACCTGGCTAACAGATAAAAACAGATAAGAAGATTTTCTGACATTCTGAGAACTGGCTTTGAGGGAGCTGGATCAGTGTCGAGGACTTTCCAGTGTAAATAAAGGGTGACTTGGTGACTGGTTTCCAACTTTTGTGGAGTTATTTCAGAGGTGATGAAAGTGGGATGCTGAGAGATTAGTTGGTATGTGGGATTAATGATGGAACCATGCAAAAGCACCTGCTAGCTGAAGTCCAACTGGACTTCAAACAGGCACTACAACTGGCATTATCATGGGAAATGCAGCAAGTGGAGCATATGAGTTACAGGGTATTCCAATGGAAGCAGATAACCTTACCAGTCCAACTGAGCTTGGGAAACAACACCTGAGTGAAGGTAATTGCATAGCCACACTCAGGACAGATCCTTAACAGAGGGACTCTTTAACAGCCCAGAGCAAAACCCCAAAACAAAGCCAAGCCTCAGCCAAATGGATAAAGTTTTCTTCAGGATCCGGGCCAGAAAGCCATTGTAGTTACTGCCGGATGCGGACTTGAGACAACAAAGGAGTCCTACTAGACCTGAACTGAGTAACAGAACTCACAGGCCAGAATGCAGGAGGGTGCACACCCTTGCTACATCTGGTTTGGAACAGTTCATGACATTCAAATCAGAACCAATCAAACTGGTTAAACGGTCACCCGGTTCTAAACGTGGCCATTTCAGTGATCACAAAACCAGTCTTTAACAAAATTTGCTCTGGACACCAAACCTTAAGGTTGCACAAGACCTCAGCTAGACTGAGAATTTATACCAGGGAACCTTTACAGATTAAAGGTACAACTTCGGCTCCGGTCTCTTATTAGAAGCAGCTGGTTCAGTTACCACTGCTTGTGGTAAAATGCTCGGGTCCAAGCTTGATGGGGCAAAATTAGTTGAGAGAGATTCACCTAGATTGGCTCAACATTTTTAAATTAGAAAATGGCTGCCTCAGTGAAGTCCTAATTAAATACCTGGAAATCTTTTATGAAAGTTTAGGGACTATCAAAGGAGCCAGGGCCACCTTGCATGTTGACCAGGAAGCAATTCCATCATTTTGCAAGGCCCATCCAATGCCATTTGTCTTATGGACAAAAGTAGAGGCAGAAATCAGAAGGCTGGAAAACGAAGGAATCATTGAACAAGGTGCAGGGCTGGATGAACACAGCAGGCCAAGCAGCATCATAGGAGCAGAGAGGCTACTATCTCTGAATCATTGAACAAGTCAAGTTTGCGAAACAGGCAGCACTGGTTGTACTGGTTTTGAAGCCTGAAGGGTGGGTTTGCCTTTGTGGGAATTCGAAACAAATGGTAAACTGCATTTCGCAGCTGGATAAATACACAATTCCTCACATAAAGGATTTATATGCAAAGCTGGGAGAGGACCCGTCCTTCATGAACTTGTAATTGAGGTTAGATGTGGATTCCTAGAAGTATGGTATAATTAATACCCATACAAGTTTGAAGCAATACATGATGCTGCCGTTTGGGTATCGTCAGCCTGTGCAATTTTTCAGCAGACGATGGAGAACATTTTGCAAGATCTACCCCAAATCACCATATATCTGGATGACGTCATTAAGGAGCACATAGAGAACTTGGACATAGTCCTTAGACATTTCTCCCAGGCGGGCATAGACCTAAGAAGGGAAAAATGTGTGCACCAGGCACCCCAAGTGACCTACTTGGGCTACAGAGAGGATGAGACCACAGTTTACACCCTTTGGAAGAGAAAGCGAGGGCGATCAAAGGTGCCCTGGCTCCCATTTCTGTACCGGAGCTTAGGTCTTCCCTCGGGCTCATGAATTATTGATGAAAGTTCATACATAATCTGGCTTCCATCCTGGCACCTTTGCATCAACTCCTAAAAAAGGGTCAGTCTTAGAAACGGTCGCATAGCCAAGCCACAGCTTTCAGGGAAGTGAAGAAACATAGCTTTCAGGGTAGCACTTCTAATGTATCCCTAAAGACAATTCTAAAACAATATTTGCTTATCGAAAATCACTTTTCATTACATAACATGTAATAAGGTGAGAATATGCTACTCTTCTGTAACTTTTATATCAAAAATATATGGGCTGCCCTGAAGCTAATTGGGCCAAAAGTTTTTTCATAATGCATTGTGTGGCATGGTGGCTCAGCAGTTAGCACTGCTGCCTCAGAGTGCCAGGAACCTGGGTTCAATCCCACCCTTAGGCAACTGCCTACGTGGAATGTGCATGTTCTCCCCATGTCTGCAAGGGCTCCTTTCGGTTCTCTGGTTTTCTCCCACAATCAAAAAATGTGCAGGTTAGGTGAATTGGCCATGGGAAGTACATGGATAGGGTAAGGGTTGGTTCTGGGTGGGACACTCTTCAGAGGGATGGTGTGGACCTGATGTGCTGAAAGGCCAACTTCCACACTATAGGGATTCAATGATTCTATGAACGCTTACTAATTCCTAGTTATGTACATTCTGCTTAACTCCAGCTTATCACTACCTGTTTTCAGTTCACTGCTTCCCACTTCAGGTTCACCACTTTCTTTCGGCAAACGATCTGCTCATCACTTTCACTGAACCTTCCACTTGCCAGATCAGTGCCTTAACTTGTCAGCTCACTGCATTCCCCCCACCTTGACCCCCACTCCCAATAAGCCCTTCACTGTCCAGCATGTGACCTGCTCCCTACAACCTCCATCCTACCATCATTCACCTGTGGCCTGAGCCCTATATCTTTCCCTGAGTTTATTGTCAGTAGCTACTTCCAATACTGTCAGCACTGCCTATAATGGAAAGCTTCCAGCCTCTGATTGGATGGCTACTCTTGGGGGAATGGTCGGATTTCTGCCCTCAGGTTTTTAATTTCTGAGGAAGGCCATCTATTGGGCACTAAATTCTGGCAGTCTTACCCAATTGAGGCAATGTGGGAATTCTGCCAGTTCTCCAAGTAGCTAGATAGACCATCTTCACCAACATTTTACTCCACCCAGAATCTAGGCTAACACAGTCCAGTATGAAGTATGTGCTGCATCACCAGATGTATTCTTTTATGGAAGATGAATTATACTGAAGCTCAGTTTTCTTTCTCACCTGGAAATAAAATATCCCATGGAATTATTTGAAAGGCAGGAGGGTTCACCCAAGGTCCGAGCCAACTTTTATCACTCTATCAACACCAGCACAACAGAATGATTAGTTACATAACAAGTGTATTTTTGTTAGATTTTGCTGAGCAAAAATGGACTGGTTGGTGCCTATGCAACAGTACACAACAAAAAAGATTTACTGAGTGTACATCACATTGTGATGGTTTGCAAATGTGAAACATATCATAAAATGTGAGTTTGTTATTTCCTATACTTGCTGTTAGTTTAAAATGTGAGTAAATTCAAATCTTAATATCTTTTAGCATGTCACTGGGAAAAGGCAATTCCGAGAAAGAAGATGTCCATCAGAAGATCCATTACCTGGCCTTTCGAATATGTAGTACTGGAACATAGTCCTTTCTGTAGCAGATGAAAGCCGAATAGTGTACACCATCCACCTTCTTAAATTGTGGCATAGGTGCAAACAAGACAGACACTGCAGGATCTAGTATGGAATAAGACAGATTATTGCTGAATTGATATGAATAAATAGTTTTCAAAACCGACAAAATATCTGAAAATGAAAAATAAGTTCTGTGACCATTTCTAAAATAATCTTTTACCTAAGGCGACTTTTTTTGGCACAGCAAGGATTATATAGTGCAGTTCTCGGAGGGCATTGAAGACAGTCCTATACCAGTGGTGGAAATAAATTAATATTTGTAATTGCACATTCTGACATTGCCCAATGAAGCTCAAGAGCTAGAATCTATAAATGCCATTAACACAGTGTAACATGGTATACAGTGCTACTACTTCTGCAGGCATTATCTCAATCATCTGCCAAAAACTCAAAGCATAACCTGAAGAAATGATAAACAATCACAAAATTATATCTTGAACTTTTATTTAAATACAAAGAAGTGTTAATGAAACTAAAATTGGTACATAAAAACTAGCATAGTACTTAAGATACCAATCAATTCAACTGACAAAATGGAACTTAGTATATTTTTCTGCTTACCAAATCAGGGGTAAATTATTGTTTTGCATATAGAACATTCCCCACTGTCTATCAGAGATCCACATTTCAAGTCTTCTTCCTGCTCTTTCTGGAGACTCAGGAGAATCAACTATGTCTAGGATTAGTTCCATTCATTTCAAGTAGATTGTAATTTCAGCCTAACAGGCAGCTGAACTCAAGGCACCAAGCCTGTTGCAAAGCTTTCTAATATTTTGTTTTCTGCAGCTTAGATATTTTCAGAGCAAATCTCAGCCTGACTGAATTTTGCCAAGATAATTAAACTAGAGCAACAAGGATTGCAGTTTATTTTTCTCATTACTGTTTTCACCTGAACAACCCTTACAGGAAAAATAGATCAAAATTGGCAGGTCTCTATGGTGTAATGAATTCTAGGTGTTAATGAACATGGTGCAAAGATGGAAGCAAATTCAACACAGTGTGGAGCTGGAGGAACACAGCAGATCAGGCAGCATCAGAGGAGCAGGAAAGATGACGTTTCGGGTCAGGATCCTTCTTCAGCAATGGGAAAGGGGAAGGGAGCTGGGAAATAAACAGAGGGAGGAGGGGTGGGGCTGCAGAAAGGTATGTGGATAGGTGGGATGATGATAGGTGGATGCAGGTAGGGAGTGGTGGGGATTGGTCGGTGGGAAGCAAAATGTGAGGGAATAGTTTAAACAATAGATATTTCTTGAGATAAACTTTTCTCTTTTAAATAACCTGTTGTGACAATGCTGTGGCTTTCAGAAGTGTATTTTGTTCTAGTTTCTTTTAAGAAAGAGATTGAACGAGAGGCCCCAAGTTGTCTGTGGTAATATAAACAGCTTGTGACGCCTTGGTTTTTTTAAAGTTGGAACAACAGAAGCAGCCTGGATGGGCATGGCCAGCTTGCACAGGATTTCTAGCTTTTTTTTAAGCTCTTAGGTTCAGCAGAAGTTGCTGGAGCTTTGAAGACATAGAAGCTTTTTTTTTCCCCTCTCTCGGTTACAGCTAAAAGTGGGGTTTCTCTTCCTATTGTGGGTATGTTAGAAAATCTGATTTCTGAATTTGTCTTTTTGCCCAAGGGGTGTGTTTGTGAAACGTTACTGTATTGGAACAGTTAATTAGTAGTAGTTACTGTATCTATTGTTCTGTTAAGTTTTCCAATAGAGTTGTTATTCTAAATTCCTCTTTCTTTTGTTGTATTTTAACAATAGTGTTTGAATAAACTGTATTTTGCTTAATTTCGAGTAGCTTGACCAGTTGTATTGCATCTGGAATATGGCACTTTACATTTGCCTTTAAAAATAAGAAAAAGTTAGGGTCTAGGCTATCTTCTTAAAATGTCTGGTCTGGTCCTTAACAATGTGCAATGTTGTTTTATTCCTTCTAAGATATTTCACTGGCAGAATTGTTAAATATCATTGTTTACTGCTAAATACCTTAGAAAAGATAAAATGACATGGCACAAACAGTTTCCCCACTTGCCCTTCAACTCTTCAAGTTATCTTTGTGATATTCTGCCTGCATCTCTGGCAATGACCCCATCTGTCCTAGGTAGATCTGATCAACAAATCTAAAAGTAACTGATGATTCTACAGCTTTACAAAGATTTTCTTGCATAGTGCCTGAGTGTATTCATACTGGAATGCATAATTTATCCACAGTCAGGAATTATTAACACACAACCTACCTGACAATCTCTTTAGCACAACCACCTGCAACTCTTGATTTTGCCACAAGCAAATGTAAAAAAAGGGTGTTCAGAGGCTGTCAAAATTTAAAAAAATATGCTTTATGTGAGCATAACTCATCCAGTGAAATATCAATAAAATTTAGTGATAAAAGTAAGTGATATTTTATCACATTTATCCACAATCTGAAATGTAACCTATATTACATGTGGATGCCAGAAACTGAGAATATATACATTTAATTGTTTTCTGTTAAAGAAAACACTCTCAACACAGTAAGGGTTTGACAATCTATGCAAAGCATATTGAAGGCAACATTCCCCTACTCATATCTGGCTACATAACTTGCAACTCACAATGTCTAGTCACACAGTAAAGAGAAATTTACAGACTTCCCACTAAATAGTAATTGTTATATCATTGTGAAGTAGAAGGCATGGGAGAAGGGAATGGGAAAATAGATTGGGATAATGAAAGAGAGTAAAGATGAACAGAAAGGAGTGTAAGGTTAAAGGTGAAAGGAAAGCAAAGGAGAGGGTGCAAAAAGACAACAGTGGATACAGGAATTATGCAGTGTTTAACTTAAGACAAGAAATGAGGGGCAGACATAGAATGGGAGAGAAAGTGGGAGTAAGGAGAAAAAGCAGGAAGAAAGTGATGTGGGGGAAACTGCATATTGGAGAAACAGGAGGAAGGCAGAAAGGAAGAAGAGGCAAGAAATGTGAAAGGAAGGGGCAAGAAAGAGGGAAAAGAAGGAAGGATAAAGCAGGAGTAAGTAAGTCAAAGCAGGGCCGAGATAAAAAGGAAGGAATAGAGAAGAAAAGCATGTGAATTCAGGAATAGGGGCAGAAGGAAAATACAGGATTCGAAATTTCAGGAGAGAGAAAAAGGATTTGAATTTTGTGTAGATTTTCTTCGTAACAAGCATTTTTAGTTTGAAAATACTCTGTACTTTTATTATATTAATAAAGACTACAATCTTGGAAATGGCTTGATGCTGCACTAGGCAGTGAAGGGAGGGGAGTGGATAAAGATGATAAATATATATAGTATGTGAAACATAACTCAGCCACAGAAAGAACTAAAACATTTAGGGAAAGAAGCAGTAGGGGAAAATAACTCAGTTGGGGTGTGGTTGAGAGAGAAATCATTGGAGGAGATAGTCACAGGTAAAAACCTGGAAAGGAGGTATAGGTAATGGGGCTCCAAATTAAGTGAAACGACATGCAATTTTTATAAACAACTCTTAAATTCTTTTGCTGATTGACAACAGTCTTAGCATGCCTGTATCATTCATACACATGAACAGTTGTGTATTCATCAACAATGTTTGCATTAATACCTTCTTACAAATTGTCTGACTTATCTGACTTTGAGAATGTTGAATGCTTTGAAGTTCACAAAACTCCTTGCCTCCCTACAATAGGATATCTCAAAACAGGGTCGCCACAGACAGAATGTTATGGTCAGGTTTGACACAGGGGATGTAGTTCCTATCGAGGGCTCCAATGATCAAAATATAGGGAAATAGAGCTAATTCTTAAAAGCATAAAAGTCTTTGGCTCTTGTGGTGCAGTGACAATGTCCTTACCTCTGACCAAAAGGTCTAAGTCAAGTCCCACCAGCCCCAAAGATGTGTCATAACATGCCCAAACAGGTTGAGTAAAAATGTATATAACAAAGGTTTAATTTCAGATTCATTGACATATGTTAGGCTTATTCCTGGAGCTAAGTACATACGAGTTTAAATGCGATGCTAGTACACCACCCATTGATGTCATTATTATTAATTGTGACAATACTCTGCCTTTTAAGAGATGATCTGTTTCTCTTGAAGAGAAGTGTTGACACCATGGTGTTAACATGTCTACTTCAGAAGCAGCAGTAAAAAGTTTTGAGTTCCCTGAGCATTTTCTTTAATTAGACAAAAGAAACATGGTGGGTGGAGTCAGACTCACACAGACCCAAGGTTTTGGCTGTCCTTTCAGTTAGGTTTTTTTTGGAATTGAAGCTGATAGATACAGCTCTCACTCTGCTGTGGCAAAAAGCTTGAATTCTCTTTCTGCTGCTAGATTGTTTCTTTCAGTGTTTCAGTGTTCCTTTCTCCACAACGGGTAGAGCATGTGAGGAAAATCTGTTTTACTGAATTTGCTTTTGCCAAGGGTGTGTTTATAGGATACTGTAATATTGAAACAGTTGATAAGTAGTTAAATAATACATTATTTTGTTAAGTATTTCAGTAGAGTTAAAACTGTGTCAATTTTTTTATGTTTGTATTTTAACTGTGTTGTAAGAATAAAGTGTGTTTTGCTTAAAGCCTAGTGATGGACCAATTGAATCACATCTGGAACATAGTGGCTCACACTTGCCTTTAAATAAAATAAAAATTAAGGTCTAGGCTATCACTTTGATATATTTTGAGGGGGTTTGATCTCATCCATAAAAAAATGTAATGAGGTTTGGATCCAATTAACATGAATTTTTCATTAGAAATGTTCATAGGTGACAAGATACACAAAAAAGTTCCATTATCTACATTATAGATTACTGCAATTATGTTTGGTCAATATTATTAATATTATGGCAGTGAAGACTTGAGGGTCTGAAAGTCATGACAGTACCAGGTCAATGTCACATTAAAAAGAAATGGGCTTTCTAGCCTACCAGCCTCTCCATCCATCAGACTCTGTTGCTGCATTGGATCTGTTACATAAGTGGCTGGTCCAATTCCATCCCACCTCTGTTTCCCCAAAAAGAAAATATGATGGTTGAGGAAATCCTTAATGGAGACAGGTTTTCAGAGCTGAGAACTTTTTTGACTCATGCTGCCTACCTCCTGCATGAAAATCCAGCCTTTGGAGTCTGCTAAATAACTTGGAAACCAAGAAATTGCTATATATTCCAAACCTTGAAAGCACCCAGAGAATGGAATCATTAAGAATCGCTTGAATCAGCATGAACTTCCACTCCTAAGCTGCTATGTCCACTGTAAAAATCTTTGAAAATGTTATTCTATGTTGAATAAGCAGGAACTGCATTTTGTAAACACATACTAACTTCATAATTACTGCTAAATACCATCATTGGCCCTGAAAAGGTCATCTGAATTTGTGGAATATTAAAATTTTTCATACATGATTTTTTAAAAATTTAAGAACAATACTGTTTTTATTTTTAAATTTATTTATCCATAGCTTCTATCTTAATCAAATCATTATAATTTATTTTACCATCAGTAAACATAAATCAAAAGATTTGAAGTTATCACACAGCAATGATGATTAATTGCTTATCAGCTTGGGACGACAATGCTGTTGCCACCAAGATGTCTTGGCGCCAAATTTAAACTACTAATACGAAAGAAGAAAATCACACCACAGTAACTGCTAGATCTTTGTGGACAGCTGTCTTTGTTTAGTCCGAGCAAATTTCCTTAGCTGCTCACTGCAAAATCCACACCAGTGAATACATTGGTAGAAAATATATTTACTATAGTTGTAAAAATATTTTGTCAATGCAGTATGTATTGTATTCCATATTCAGAAATATTATTATTATTTTCAGGTTTCAACTCACTGTGCATTTTGAACTAGGTCCATACGTATGTAGCCAGGGTTCCCAGTTGTCTTTTTCAACAGCCTCAATATTTGGATAATCGAAAAAAGCAGCATGAGCTAAAACCTCTTTCTTCTCATTTTCCACTGTCAAAGAAAGATTTGCCTTTTCGCTGAAGGTGCAAGAAAATAATACATAACTCTTAAAGAAACTCTGGTCTTGCACTCATTCACTGACGAAAATACTTTTATGACCTCAGGTCATCTCAAAGCACTTTATTGTATATAAGACACTCCTGAAATGTAACCACTGCTTAATATACAAAAATCAGTTTGCACAAAACAAGGTCCCACACACAGCAATGATATGATGTCCAGATAATTTCTTTTGCTCTTGTTGGTTAGGATAAAGTATTGGCTAGGACACTTTTTTTTTCAAGTATTGCCATGGGGCCTTTTACATCAATTCCAACAATGCTCCAAATAGATTTGACTTCATGCCGTGTCCCTGGCACTTGCTAAGACAGGTGGTAAAAAGGATTTCTTACTGTAAATGTGGTCTGACGTGCAGCAACCAGGAAGCAGGAGCTCTCCTCTGGCTCTACAGTACACTTGAGGGCTGCTGCTGGCTGTTTTTAAAACTGTCCATTTAATATGAAGAGGCTTAACTTTTATACAAAGGCACTTTATTCTAGCCTCATTGCATATGTTCTAGCATTGCTAGCTTCCATACCAGAGCTTATGACAAGTCTCCTTTTTTTCCTCAAACAAAAATATACTCCACCATTGGCGATAGGGACCTCAACCATGTCCATGTATCTTGCACTTCTGTCGTCACCTCTTCTCTTTGTTCCCAAAAATCACAGTAAAAGCCTCCACAATGGATCATCCTCTGACGTCTGACTTGCTTCAATTTTAAGCATTATTGGGATTGATGTATAAGGCCCCATAGCAATACTTAAGAAGAGCAAGAGTCTTGGCCAATATTTATCCGAATCAATGATAGCAAAATAAATAATCTGGACATCATATCATTGCTGTGTGTGGGACCTTGTTTTGAGCAAACTGGTGATGACACCACCAAACACATCCCCTTTCCCTCTGGTAGAATAGTAAAAAGTCAAACCTTAAAGATCTTTATCTAAATAAATACAGCATTTCTAACAAGATAGATGAGTTGATAGCAAAAATAGAAATACATGATTATGGTTTGATAGCTATTACAGAGATGTAAGCAATATTGCAAACTCAATGTTCAAAGGTATTTGACGTTCTGGAAGAATAGGCAAAAAGGAAAAGGAGATAGAATAAAAGAGGGAATCAGTGCAGCGGTGAGTAGTGACATAGGTACAATGGATTGTGAAGTGGAATTTGGGTGGAAATAAGAAATAGCAAGGGAATGAAATCATGGGTGGGAATTGTCTAAAGATTACAAAGAGTTGCCTCAATGTAGGTCAAAGTATAAAATGGGAAGTAATGGAAATGCACTACAATTATCATGCGTGATTTTAATCTGCTGTTGACCGGACAAATCAGATTGGCAAAGGTAACATGGAAGACAAATTTGTAGAGTTCATCAGGGATTGTTTCTTTGAGCAATATATTGGAGGGCCTACTCAAGAGCAGGCTGTTTTACATCCAGTAATATGTAATGAGGTTAGATGATGAGGTCTGATAGTTCAGGAGTCTCTAGGGGGTAGCAGTCACAACGTACCAGAATTTCAGATTTGGTTTGTGGATGAGCAATTCACGTCTCAAACCACTACCCTCAACTTGAAAAAAGGTAGTTACAGTGGTATGAAAAAGAGTTGTTTCAAGCAACTGGGAAATAGACTAAAGGGAAGGTCAATGAATGAGCAGTGGCAGATGTTCAAGCAGATATTTCATAACGCTGAGCAAAAATTTATTCCAGTCAAAAAGAAGGATTTGAGAACCATGAACCACCTATGGTTAACAGTGATAGTCAAGGAGAATATCCAATCATAAATTAAGGTATACAAAACAGCAAAGACTAGTTACGAGCCAAAGGATTAGGATTTTGTAGGAACCAATGGCGTATGACTAAAAAGCTATTAAAAAGGGATGAAATTGAAAGTAAACTGGCAAGAACTATCAGAATGAATGGCAAGAGCTTTTGCGCATATATAAGAAGAAAGAGAGTAGCTAAAGGATATGTGGGACACTGGAGGATACAACTCGAGAATTAACAACAGGGAATAGGAAATTGGCACTTAAATTGAAATCAATATTTTGCATCAGTCTTCATAGTGGTGGACACTATAAACACCCCCAAAATATAACAGCTAAGCAAGGTGCTAATGGAAGGAAAAATATTCTATCATAAGTGGAAAAGTATTTGAAAAACTAATGGGATTAAAGGTAGACAAATTACCAGGACCTGATCCAAGGGTTTTAAAAGAAGTGGTTGCAGAGATAATGGAGGCATTGGCCAAATATTCTAGAACTCATCTTGAGAGGTTTCCAGCAGATTGGAAATCATGCATGTCATGTCTCTGTCCAAGGAGGAAGGGAGATAGAAAGCAGGAAATTATATGGTAGTTAGCCTAACATCAGTTATTGGGAAAATTCTGATTTCATTTTCTGATGAAGGGTCTAGGCCCGAAACGTCAGCCTTCCTGCTCCTATGATGCTGCTTGGCCTGCTGTGTTCATCCAGCTCTACACCTTGTTGTCTCTGGTAAATGTAGTGTATTTGGATTTCCAGATAAGGTTCCAAATAAGATGTTGTTGTAATAGATAGGAGCTCACTGTACTGTGAATAATGTATTAATATGGATTGAGGATTGGTTTATACAAAGAAGACAGACATTTGGCATTAATATGTCGTTTTCAGGTTGAAAATATGTAACTAGTAGAGTGCCATGAGAATTGGTCCTAGGGCCTCAATTATTTACCATCTGTATTAATAACTTGGAGGGGGTAAATGTTGGATGTATCCAAATTTGTTGATGATACACTAATAGATAGGAGGGCATACTATGATGAGGACATTAAGAATTTGCAATGGTATATCAATAGGTTGACTGAGTGAGTAAAAAACTTGGCAGACAGAGTTTAATATAGGAAATTGTGAGGTCATGCACTTTGCCAGGAAGAACCAAAAGGTAGACTATTACTTATAGAGAGAAAAACTTCAAAAAATGCAGTAAGAAGTGATCTGGGTGATCTTGTATACAAGGTATAAAAGTAAGCTTGCAGGCAAGTAATTTAGAAGGCAAATGGAATTTTGGCCTTCATAACTACGAGGTGGAGTTTAAAAATAGGGAAGTCTTGTTACAACTGTAAAGGGTGTTGGTGAGGCTACACCCTGGAGTACTGTCTTGGTCCTCGTATTTCAGAAAGGATATAGTGGTATTGGAGGCAGCTCAAAAAAGATTCACTTGGCTGATTCCTGGGATGAAGGGATTGACTTATCAAAAATGGCTAAAATGGTTAGGCCATCATTTATTAGGGTTTAGAAGCAGGAGGAATAATCTTATTGAAGTGTACAAAATTCTGAGCATCTTGACAAGCGTCTTGAAAATATGATTCCACTAGTGGGAGAATCTTAAACTTGGCAACATAGTTACATAAAAAAGGGATACTTATTTAAAACTATGATGTGAAGGGATTTATTGTCTCAGAGGATAGTGAATGGCTAGAATTCTCTACCACAGAGTTGTAGAGGTTAGATCAATGAAAATGTTTAAACAGAGAATAGATAGATTTTTGAACTATTAGGAATTGAGGGCTACAAGCAGATGCCACAAAAGAGGAGTTGAGGCCCGCATGGATCAGCCATAATCATACTGAATGGCAAGGCAGGCTTGAGGGGCCAAATGCCTACTCCTGCTTCTACTTCTTTTGATTTTATGCCTTTCAGAGAGATTCCTCCAGTTGCTTTGCATCTTCCCTAGCTTTACATTTGCTCATATGTTATTAAATCTCTAGTTTCTTCCAGATCTGATGCAAGGTGACCAACATTAAATATTAATTCTGTTTATATCCCTGCAGAATATCACTTGACTTGTTGGGTTTTTCCAGCAAGTTCTACTTATATTTTGTAACACATTGCCTTGAAGGTGCAGAATGGCACAGAAAATGGCAGTGTGACAGGACAAAGTAAGCTCTGAAATAGGTGCATGTCTGTTAATCTCACTGATTTAGTTTGTAATAATTCATGAATCGCCTTGCTACATTAAAATAAAGATTAAAGGAAATTCTGATCCATCAATTTGAACTGCAATTACTTACACTAGGTAGCTTTTTATCCTCAGTTGTATTATTGCACCTAATCACTATAAAACACATAGATTAGCTCTGTATGCTTCAATGAAAACTACTTTTCTAAGGCCTTATTAATGGACATTCTTTACATATACATACAGTAAATAGATGATATTAATTCTTCCAAACATGGCTGTTGTACTGGGGGTGAACAGTTTCATAATCTGATGTGCATCTTGAGATTCTGACCGTCTGACATTTATTACTAGACTTCCTCCACCTGAAGCATATATTGTTGTCATTGTTGTTCTGGAAAAGAATGTACAGATAAGGAACTGACATTACAGCATGTCCTGAGGTTTTGAAGATATTTACTCAGGGTCATAACAAGCACAATTAGAAAGAACAATATTTTCAGTCACAGGTATTCAAAGGCATAAATTGAAAGAATCTTGTATAAAAATTACCAAGCCAAATTTTGAGCTACAATAACCACTATAAATCTAAGGAGCTAAATAAATGACTGGTATTACAATTTAAAATTAAAATACAATGCAACTAAATGATATTACTTTATCATTAGAGGCCAAGATAACAGATAAGGTTATAAAAACACCTTGCCAATTTTGTCTCCTATCCTGCTTGACATCCTGTGAACTACGTGTCGACACTTTAAAAAGTCATTATTGAAATGAAGTTAAAAAGATATCCATGATCAATATAAATTGTCAAACTTACTTAGGTTATTTTTATTTATTCTCAGAATATGATTGTCACCAGGAATTTTTGTGCATTCCTAGTTATCTTGTGATCACTGAGGGCCTTCTCTTTGAGACACTTCAATCCTTGAGGTGATGATGTTCCACCATGGTATTAGGTACTTTCTAGGATGTTGCCCTATCTATGAGAAAAAACAATGATAACATGGATCTTCTTCACAACATAAGTTTTTTCTAAATTATGAGGAATCATATGTGATTGAACCGTCAACTTTGATTCATCAACACTGATGTTATGCCTTCTGCTAATTCCAAACTTTATAGTCAGTTACACCACCACATCTCACAGATTTTGTCCCAAAGCCAAACTGTATCCAGCCATAAATTTGGAAAAAATATTGGAGGAAAAGGATTAATGCATGGAGAAAATTATATATTGCACATAATAATTCTATAGGCTATAAATAACATTTCTTCAAGTTTGTTGGTAAACAACTTCAAATTATACAGAATAAAAACTGAAGCTACCCCCAGGTCAGGCACATCTGTGGAGAGAGAAGAACAGTTATTCATTTCCAGAAGGAATAAACAGTAAAAGCTGCAAATGGCACACCGTGGTCAGACTTGTCTTGTGTATTTCAAAATTAACATCCAGTAGGACCAGTACTTTCATTTCTGAGTGTTTATCGCTTTCTCTCACCATGGGTTAGAATATATTTCACAGGATCTGTAACACGTCTGACAAAATTCAGATTCTCTTCTCATATTTGTCTTACTCTATCCACCCTGGTGTAGTTAGAAAGCACTTCTACACACAAAGGCTGGTAGAGGTTTAGACTATCTTCCACAAACAGCAGTTAAAATCCCTATAGCACAGAAAGAAACCACTCAGCCCAAGTCTGCACAGACCCTCCAAACAGCATCCCATCCAGACCAGTCACCCAAACTATCTCGGTAACCCTACATTCACCATGACTAACCCATCTAGCCTGCACATCCGTGGACATTATGGGGCAATTTAGCATGGCCAACCCACCTAACTTACATATCTTTGGACTGTGAGGGGAAACCACAGACACAGGGAGAACATGCAAACTCAAGGCTGGAATCGAAACCAAGACCCTAGCCCAATGAGGTAGTATAGTTAACCCGTGAGCCACAGTGGTCCTAAGTTCATTCCTTCATATGAATAAAGAGGTTAATTTAGCCAAGAAGGTCAGGCAACGCCTGTGGAGATAAAATTTCAATTCAGTGCAGGAGTCAAAACTGGTCACTGGAATTTCTGAAACATCAACTCTTCTTTTCTCTCCATAAATGCTGCTAGATCTGCTCAGTTTCTCCTGCAATGTTTTTGTTATTGTTTCAGATCTCCAGCACCTGCAACTCTTTGTTTTATCATTGAGTTTGGCCAAGTCTGAGTTCAGTTTTATAATAAAACAAAGAACTGAGGATGCTGGAAATCTGAAACAAAAGCAGAAACTGCTGGAGGATCTCAACAGGTCTGGCAGCATTTGTGGAAAGAGAAAGAGAGTTAATGATTCAAGTCCAGAGACCCTTCTTCAGACCCTCGTGAAGAAGTGTCACTGGTCTCTACACGGCAGCTGACTGACCTGTTGAGTTTCTCCAGCAATGTCTGTTTTTGTTTTTGCATCAGATCATCGCAATTCGCAATTCTTTGATTTATTAGTGAATTTAGGCAAGTCTGGGCACACCTTTATAATCTCTGCCCACACAGAATATTAATTTTTACCCTCTCCCAGACAGAAAAAGCCCGTCACCCAATTTTTTTTTGAAAAAAAGAAACAAAACCTCAGCCTCCGCCACAGCCTTCGCGCCCGAGAAGCCACAAACTGTCTTAGCAACGCGGCGCTCCGGTGCCATGGCAACTGCCGTTGCTACCACGTGGTGCGCTGCCGGGTCGGAGGTTACGCCGCCGGGTACCCGGATGTTTCTTGGGATGTTACTGGAGTGGCAGTGACGGCGGCAGAGTCTTGTATTATTTTTTATCCCGAATTAGCAAAAGAACTATTGAAGAGGGGGGTGAAATTACGACCTGAAAATGGCTTCAACCGCGGCTGGAAAACAGCGAATCCCCAAAGTGGCAAAGGTAACCAGCACCTTGCTAGAACTGTGTCGGGCCCAGTCAGGCTTTGCAGGAATTGACAAACACCAACATTTATTCTCGACCGACAACAGCAGCAATCTGATGTCCTTGCGGTTAAAGTCAGGATGTTTAAAGTCTGGCGCAAGGACTGAGAGGTTCCTGCCCTCCTTGTCGTGAGTTGAAAATTGCACCCCCCGTTTGTTTCCTTTTAGAAGAAGGGCTTACATTTCTATACCGCCTTTATTGGATATCAAGACCATTTTAAAGTATAGTAAGTGAGGTTACAGTGAGTTAAACCTTGTTACAATTGGAACCAAAGATGGATACCATATGCAAGTTTAAATAATCAACTATCCTCGAAATTTCTGCTTAATGCGCCTACTGGCCCAGAAAAGTTCATTTTAATATTGTTGGGCATTTCAAATGTCTCCAAAATAAACTACCCATTGTTGTATACGTTTGTTTATATTTTGAACTTCTATTATCATTCAATCGTAATTTTCACAAACAGAAATTGCTGGTCTGGTAGCATCTGTGAAGAGTATTCAGAGTTAAGAATCATAGAATCCCTACCGTGTGGAAACAGGCCCAACAAGTCCACGTCTGTTCACTGAGCATCCCACCCAGACCCATCCCCTTATAACCCACCTAATGTACACATTCCTGAACACTACAGGCAATTTCGCATGGCCAATCCACCTAGCCTGTACATCTTTGGACTGTGGGAGGAAACCCATGCAGATACTGGGAGAATATACAAACTCCACACAGACAGTCACCCGAGGCTGGAATCGAACCCAGGTCCCTGGCTCTGTGAGGCAGCAGTGTTAGCCACTGTGCTGCCCCATTAACATTTCAGGTCCTGTGACCCTTCCTCAGAACATGCTGGCTGGGAAACGACGTTTTCTATGCAGAAGATAAGGTGGAGGGAGGGGTTAAGGAATAAATGTTACATGGGTTACAGCCCAGAGAGAGAGAACAGTTGGGCAGACAAAGGAGTGGATAACGATCAGGCTAGGTGGGTGAATAGCTGTTAATGGAGACTGTTAGTATGCCAATACACACTACCTATTGTTAGCCACTATGTGTGGGTTTGGGGGCTAGGACATAGGAGAGTTCAGGCCCTAACATTATTGAACTCAATATTCAGTCCGGAGGGCTGCAGGGTCCCCAAGCGGAAAATGAGGTGTTGTTCTTCCGGTTTGCTCTGAGCTTCACTAGAACACTGCAGCAAGCCTGTGACAGATGTTGGCCAGGAACAGGGTGGTGGCAAGCAACTGGAATCTCAGGGTCTTTTTTGCGAGCAGAACTTATGTGTTCTGCAAAGTAGTAACCCAGTCTATGCTTCATTGCACTAATGTAGAGGAGACCACGTTGTCAACGGCGAATGCGGAAGACTAGATTATGAGAAGTGCAGGCAATGTGCTGCTGCACCTGAAAGGTGTGTTTGGGCCCTTGAATACTGGGGAAAGAGGAGGCGAATGGGCAGGTGTTATACCTTCGGTTGCAGAGGAAGGTGCTGTAGGGCTGTGAGGGTGTGATGGGAGTGAAGAAGAATGGACCAGGGTATCCCAGAGAGAACGGTCCCTGTGGTAAGCGGACAAGGGAGGGGAATACGTGTCTGGCGGTGGCATCTCGCTGGAGGTGGCGGAAATGTCGACTAATGATCTTCTGGATGGTAGGTTTAAAAACAAGGGGAACCCTACTGCTGTTCTGCGAGGCAAGAGCAGGTGAGTGCAGAAGTGTGGGAGATGGATCGGACCCGGTTGAGGGCCCTGTCAACAACAGTAGCCCCCAACCCCACATACCAGGCCTTATCATCACATAGTCTGCCATTATACATTACCTATTGTTAGCCACTAATAGTCTCCATTACCAGCCCAGAGAGAGAGAACAGTTCACCCTCCTGGCCAGTTCATTAACCACTCCTTTGTCCAACTGTTCTTCTCTCTCTTTTGGCTCTATCCTCACCTATTGTTTACTCCTTCCCCCCCCGCTACCCCACCCCATCTTCTGCCTATAAACCGAAATTTTTCCAACTACCATCAGTTCTTAGGAAGGGCTACTGGACCTGAAATGTTAACTCTGATTTCTCTTCACAGATGCTGCCAGCCCTGCTGAGTTTTTCCAGCAATTTCTGTTTTTGTTTCTGATTTACAGCATCTGGAGTTCTTTTGGTTTTATTTATAACTTATTTCACTATCTGAGCATTTAAGTTTAAGGATAATGAGTGTCTTCAATTACCTGGTTTTCTGTAAGTGAATGTGACTGGCTGCTTACCTGCAAGTAGCCACAACTGCTGCATGCCAAGACATCCCCTTGTCTTAGTGCCAGATTTTAAATTCCTGTTTAAAGAAGAGAAGACTGCAATACAAAGATAGCAAAACCTTGTGCACAGCTTTCTTCAGGGTCAGCGGCAAGCATCGTTATTTCATCAGTGATGATAAGATCCAGGCCATAGTTTTGAATTAAGATCCTTCAATCCACTTGAATGCTGTCTTTTCTCCAGCATTATTGGTACCACATGTATTTGTTTGTTTTTAAGTGACTTCAATATCCTGATCTTGAAAAAAATCTAGAAACCAATTCCCTCTCTTAATGTTAGTGTCATATTTGATCTCAAGCATGTCCTCCAACTATATATCCATACCAATATTAAGGCTACCTATTTCCAACCCATCATGTGGCTCAATTCTATCTGTCAAGATGTGGTTGCTGCTGATACCCTCATCTATGCCTTTACCACTTCTCGACTCTTCCAATACACTCTTGATCACCACCTTATTTTCTATCCTCCATGAGCTTGAGGTCATTCAAGACTCTGCTGCCCATGTCCTTGCTCACACCCTGTTGCTCATTGATCTACACCAATTTCTGGTTAAGCAACATTCTGTTTTTAAAGTTTTCATTTTTGTTTTGAAATCCTAAGCTTTACTCCTCCAGAACAGTATAATCTCTTCCTACCTCTTTCAGCTATGCAGAGGCTGGATAAGCTAGGGTTGTTTTCTTTGGAGCAGAGAAGGTCGAGGAAGACTTGTTCGAGGTGTATAAGATTATGAGGGGCATGGACAGGATAAATAGAAAGCAGCTCTTTCCTCAGTTGTATGGTCTGTAACGAGGGAGCATACTTTTCAATTGAAAGGCAGGAGATTTAGAGGGGATTTGAGGAAAAATGTTTTCATCCAGAGGGTGGTGGGTATCTGAAATGCACTGCCTGAGAGGGTAGTTGAGGTGAGAAACCTCATAATCTTTAAAAAGTACTTGGATTAGCACTTGAAGTGTCATAATATTCAAGGTTCTCAGCTTGGTGCAGGAAATTGAAACTAGTGTAGGAAGTAATGTATTTTTGGCTGAACAGACTCAGTGGACTGAAGGGCCTCTTCTGTATTGTATGATTCTGTACTCCTCTAATTTTCACCTGTTCAGAATCTGTGTTTTCAAGTGCTGCACTATTAATGGCCTGCCTTCATTCTCAAAGCTGCAAGTTCTCACTAAACCTCTCCACCTCTCATTCCTCCTTTATGATGCTGCTTGACCAAATTTCTGGTCTTCTGTTCTAAACTTCTTACAAGGCTTAATGTCACAGTTTGCTTTAATCTGCTGTGAAATGCCTTATGAGATTTTATGATGTAATGGTGCCATAGAAATATAAATCGTTTACCATATGTGTTAAAGGATATTTCTGACATCTAAACCTTTGATTTGCATCTATCAACTTACTGCCTGTTGCATTCTGAATGTGAAACATTGTTTGCTGTCTCTGTTCTGCTAAGTGTCTTGTCTAACTGCTTTAGGTCCTTGCCACAGCATCTCCCTTAACGCTATAGAGCAATATTTTTGTAGCTGAATGCGCTACTAATACAGCCTATCATAGTAATCTGAATCTTGGCAGTGCTTGAAGCGTGGCCTGATTGTACAACCTTCACATAACCACTTAAGAATGTGCACCAAAGTTGGTTTAAAATTGCAAGCCAACATTGATTGCTTTGATTATTGATACCCTACAATGGCCGCTTGCAGTTTATATAGTGCCTTAACATATTGAGCATCTCTAGGTGCATCATGGGAGTACTACCAAATATATGCATATGCATCGTTGCATACGGACATGGACTGCTTCAGTGTCTGTGGAATCACTGATGGTACTGAGCATTAGGCAATCATTAGTGGACATATCTGCTTTTCTAAGGTTTAGAATTGCCGAATCTAAGGTACTCGTGCAGCAATGAGCTGTAACTAAGAGGATTGACCTCCACCTGCTACAACCACCTTCTTCTGTGTTTACGACTCCAACCAGTTGAGAGATTGCTTCCTGATTCCCATTGACATCCAATTTTGCCAGGGATCCTTCTTGCCATATTCAATGAAACACTGCTCTGATGTTAAGGGAAGTCACTCACATTTCTTGTCTTGATTTTTGATACATTTGCTTATGTTTAGACTAAATGTGCAATGAGATCAGGAGCTAAATGGCCCTGTCAGAATCCAAACTGAGCATAAGTGAATAGATTATTGCTGATTAGGTACTACTTGATAGTATTGTTGAATAAATCTTCCAACATCTGCTTATGGTTCAAAGGAATGATGGCATTAATAGCCCATACAGTCATATAGCATGGAAACAGATCCTTCGGTACAACCAGTCTGCGCCGAACATAATCCCAAACTAAACTAGTCCCGCCTGCCTGCTCCTGGTCCATATCTCTCCACCTTTCCTATTCATGTACTTTTAAATATTGTAATTGTACCCACATCCACCACTTCCTCAGGAAATTCATTCCACATGTGAACTATCCCTTATATAAAAAATTGGTCCCTCATGTCTTTTTATAATCTCTCTCCTCTCACCTTAAAAATGTGCCCCCTAGTCTTGAAATCCCCAATCCTAGGGAAAAGACAACTACCATTAACCCTAACTACATCCCTTGTTATTTTATAAACTTCTGTAAGATCGCCTCTCCACATCCTACGCTCCAGTGGAAAAAGTCCCAGCCAATGCAGCCTTTCTTTATAACTCAAACCTTCCATACCCGGCAACATCCTGGCTAATGTGTTCTGAATCCCCTCCAGCTTGGATTTGTCCTGCTTTTTGTGTATAAGACATATCTGGGCAATTTTCCACATTTCTGAGTAGATGCCAGTGTTGAAGCTATAGTGGAACAGCTTGATATTGGGTGCAGCTAGTTATGGAGCACAAGTCTTCATAACTGTTGGTGGGATGTTGTTAAGGCCTTTGCAGTTTCCAATGCCTTCAGCTATTTCTTAATGTCATGTTGATTGAATTGAATTGATTGAAGACTGGTATCAGAGATGAACAGGATGTTGGGAAGACAAGTGTCTAGAAGCTTGGTCAAAGGTATGTTTTAAGCGTGTTTTTGATGGAGGAGCAAGTTAAGTAGTGAGGTTTAGACAGGAATTCCTGCAGAATGGCATAAATCTGTTCTAAACTAAACAGGAACAGGGAAACAATAATGATTAGTAATACTATGCAAATTGCTTACAAAGAATGCAAGAGACATTGTCTATCGCCATATGTCTATTCTGAAAGTTAGGTCTTGGAATCGATAGAGTATGTTTTAATGTTTTCTGTACACAAATAAGTCTTTTACTGTTCTTACTTTCTCTTCTCAAAAACACGAAGGAAATATACAGGAAAAGTACAACATAAACACAAGTGTATTTACAGGAAAAAAAATCTGCTCAGTATATGAGAGCAGTGCATTCATATATTTAGAATTTTTCCTCACCTTCATACCGTACTGTACCATGTTGCACAACAGATTATATTCTGTATTTTCCAAATTATAGTTATGTTTAGTTTTCAATGTATAGTTTGCTTGACATTCACTCAGTTTTTAAATGTGGCCAGTACTTCTTGCATGTGCTCAAAGATGTATTTTGTATTGGAGACCCCAAAACAAATCATAAAGCTCCATGACGGATTTTAACATAAAGTTTCTTAAACAAAGTCACTGCCAGAAAATTTTATTTAATCTTTGCGTGCACCATCAGGTTTATCTATTGCTTAAACGACCCATTACTGACTCAACAAGGTGCAGGGCTGGATGAACACAGCAGGCCAAGCAGCATCATAGGAGCAGAGAGGCTGACGTTTCGGGCCTAGACCCTTCATCAGAAAAGGGGGAGGGGAAGGGGGTTTTGAAATAAATAGGTTACTGACTCAGTTGGTTTTTGTTTATAGGTGAAAAATAAAGCACCTGCCGAATTGCAAATCACTGCTGAACAGCTCCTGAGAGAAGCAAAAGAGAGGGAACTTGAACTCCTTCCACCACCTCCTACACAAAAGATCACTGATGAGGAGGAATTGAATGATTACAAGCTAAGAAAAAGAAAAGTAAGTGGCTTTGTAACAGTTGCAATTTTTCTTTCTTTATCAAAATGGTGTGATAAATCAGGATTGTTGTCTTTGCTGTAAATGTAAGTTGTATACTTTTTTTATTGCCGCCACTTTATTATAGACATTTGAAGACAACATTCGGAAAAATCGAACTGTTATTAGCAACTGGATCAAATACGCACAATGGGAGGAAAGCCTAAAAGAAATACAACGGTAATTATTTCAAGAAAATTTAATTGATATGGCTGAGTCTTTTTAAAAAGAAATAAACGAATGTTTCTTTTATTTTTACACATTTACTCTTATTGCTGCAGAGCTCGTTCAATTTATGAGAGAGCATTAGATGTCGATCACAGAAATGTAACCCTGTGGTTAAAATACGCAGAAATGGAGATGAAAAATCGACAGATAAACCATGCTCGAAATATCTGGGATCGAGCAATTACCATCCTGCCCAGGGTCAACCAGTTTTGGTAAGCTGACTACTGGTAGACTGCCTTTGCATTTCAGTTATATATAGTATACTGTGGAGTTTTGTGTGGAATTAACATCAGTCAGAAATCCTGTCACCTTAAATGTTTTGTTGACCAAACCGTGTGAAAATGTGTATTTTCAGTAAAGCATTATTCTAATGATGTCCTCCAAAACATTTCTGGTTTTGAGTACTTGTTTTCCTAATCAACTTCTCGGTAGTTTATTCTTAGCACATCCGCATAAAATCCAACTTGAATGTTGATAGCAAGAACAAGAATTTTCTCTTCTATTGATTTAAGCACTTTTTATATTTCACTTTCTTGTTATACATTTTTAATATTTGCATTTGAATGTAAATTACATTTCCAATATATAGTTTAGATCCATTGTATTGGTCCTGATAATTTACTGTGTAAGAAAATGTTTAAGGTGAAGAAGTATTTGTGTTGCTTTTAAGTCCAATGTTATATTTGGACTAAATTAATTACAGTTGCTTCACGTCACAGCCTTCTCAAAGGGAGAGCCTATTTTTTGGTAAAGTCTAAAAATACCTGTTCAATCCAACTAAGATCCATTTCATAGAATGAGATTTCAATCTCTTATGTTTTCTATCATTTGAGGAGTAAGCACCATTGCCCACCTAAGCCCTAAAATCAGCTACAACCAAGATGCAAATGAGGTTTTCTATAGTTTGATACCACTCTGAATCCACACATGAACCTGGATTGTTGATGATACTCTGTCAAGGCAGGGAGAATCTGATTTGCATTGTGACTCGATTTGGAATTACGGCTTGCAGATTCAGTGCTCTGCAGTGCTTTTGCCATGATGGATACGATTTAAAGCCCATTGCTATATTTAATTAACATTCCCAGTGGATCTAATGGTATGCTTGTGTTAATGTGCACATGCTATATTGTATTTACTTTTGCTAGGTATAAATACACATACATGGAGGAGATGTTAGGAAATGTTGCAGGAGCACGACAAGTGTTTGAGCGGTGGATGGAATGGCAGCCTGATGAACAAGCATGGCACTCCTATATCAACTTTGAACTCCGATACAAAGAAATTGAAAGAGCCAGGCTGGTTTACGAAAAGTATATCCTTGTGGAATGTTGCATAACATCAGTCATTTTGGAATGTTGCTTGCATGGATATCTCATGATAACAAAGGCAGTATTAAATTTTAAGAGACTTACTTATAAGCATCCCTGACATTGTTCTAGCCCAAAAGCAGTGTAGTTAAATTTGGATAAAAGTCTGATGATATCTGATTACAATTGTAATTGCAAATTATTATAATTCGGATTATTTCAGTTGCTTTGTAGCATTCTCCTGAGCAAATAAAGAACTAAATAAATAGTGAGACAAAAGCACTAATATGGAGAAACAAACTTTTGTGAATTTTCTAGATCTCAGTTATTCAGAAATTGCACCAAAAATTACTGTTTCAGTGCCTGATCTTCCTAACAGGCACTTGCACTGAAACTTGATGTAGAGCATATTAGGCTAGGCCAGGCCAGAATTTTTCAAACTGGCGCTAACAAGCTCAAATGCAGCAGTATTTATTATTGCATTTTCTGTTACAATGTACATGATATTTTTAAAATGGCTTGTTCAATATTTTTCAAAACTTTGCATTTGCCTATTGCTCTTTCCTAAAATCGTTACATTTTATATATGGGATGTGAAATTGAACATACTGATGCTTCACAGCAGTAGCAGCTGGTCTGTGACCTCCGTTAGGTGTGGTGTATATGTCCAGTAAACCACTTGCCTAGAAATCTGTGACATTTTATGACCAACTGAACTTTTACCTGTTTAAATTTTTCATCTATAACTTCAACTGAAAATGTCACAGATGTATTGTTCTGTCTTGTGGCAAAAAACAATGCCCACAAATTCTCCATGTTGTCAATATGGGTTACACCCAACACCAGTGTCAAAAGCCGTTATCATGTTAAAGTTGAAGTGTTCAGAACTACTTTCTAAGGCTCCTATTGTTAGTAGATGTAGTTGACTTGTGAATGATGTTGATGGAAAATTTTGCAGAGTTTCTCCTGCTTTTCTGGTATTCCTCCCTAATTAATGCTGCAGGAATCTCATTAGTGTTCCCAAATGGGACAACATAACACCAACAGAGTAAGGAAAGTCCTGTGCTGCTATTGTGTTGCAATGGAAATGATTTAAATTTGTTGGTGTCTTCTCACATGGTGCCTTGTTCTCAGTGCCTCTTGTTTTCCTTTCTCGTCTATTATAATGCAAAATCAAACTGTGCCCATTAAGTCAATTCAAATGTAACTGTCTGCCATGGTAGGATTTGAGTCCGTCTCCCCAGAACATTAGCCTGGGGTCTAGATTTCTAGTCTAGCGGTATTATGCTTTTCCATTGCCGTCTGATGTACAGAGTTTCTTAAGTGCAGACATATTGGAGTGTAAAATGCAAATTTTTACTCATCACCCATATGATAAATGCCTGCTCTCAGTGATATTGTCAAGGTGTCTAAGGTAGGCTTTTGCATGGAGGAATTGATGAGAATACAGGCTTGTGACAATGAGCAACCTTTGAATGCAGCTAAAGACCATTATTATTCAAGGTGTATGAAAAGGTCTTTATTTTCACCATGGGTAGTAACTTAAAAATGATTGGTTTATAGCCAAACGTGGGCAGGATTCTTTTATGCAGTTTTATTCTCCTTAATTCTTCTGCACTTGTTTTAATTCATCCTGATGTGAAGAACTGGATTAAATATGCCCGGTTTGAAGAAAAGCATGGTTATATTGGACATGCACGGAAAGTGTATGAAAGAGGGGTGGAGTTTTATGGAGAAGACCACATGGATGAACAGCTTTTTGTAGCATTTGCAAAGTTTGAAGAAAAGCAGAAAGAAGTAAGAAGATCACAATTTAGTTTTATTTGCTTTTTCAAGATTGGGTCAAAATGTTGAATTACATTTACTTTTGAATTCAAAACA